AATCATTATTATGTGACATTTGGGATGAAGAGTTTTCGAATAAAAAGTTGGTAGTTGAAAAAATTGTGTCGGTCCGTGCCCCAAACACAGGTTTTAAATATTTATACGAAGTATTCAACACTTGTAATTACTACGGCCGTTTGATTTATAAGTAAATGTCCTTCCTTTGAATTGCTAGGTTCGACATTATATCACATCTGTAAAAGGATATCTAGGTAAAGGTGTGTGAACATAGCACCTAGTTTTGACTGGTAGGACAACTTGACTAGAACTTATTTAGTCCATAATGTTGTACCGTAAAATAAGGGCAGTTTAAATACCAAATGGTAGGAACATGGTGGTTTTTAGTCAGTTAGACCCTGTCACTACCTCTCGCCTCACCTGGGCGGGAGAAATTATAAGTCAAAATCATTATTTCAATTAGACTAGAAAGGCACTTTAGAACGTCAAAAAATTGAAATATTAAAAAAAATCAGTTGTTGGTCAGTAGTGATATATCACTACAGTGAAGCTATGTTACTCTTATTTAACCTTTTGAACGCCAGAGCAAAAACGCATGAACTTGCCCTCAACGCCAGGCCACAAATTCACCGCAAATACCTACGAAAAAAATAGGGATTCCAAAACTTCATCGATAATCAATTTTATTTTCATTTTCGTCTTTAATTTCGAAATATAATGTCCTTATAACATTGAAATTTAATTCAACATTACATTTCTTCCTATTAAAGTAAATACGTAATACGGCGTAAATATTCAAATCTAGTGGGTAACTACTGTTTTGAGCCGTTTGGGGTCGAAACACTTGGGCCATGGGGTCCCAGTGCACACTCTGTGTTTAAAGACATCGCCCGTAGGCTTATCGACTCTACACGTGACCAGAGGGCTGGCTTTTTCTTCGGACAGAAAATAAGCATTGCCATTCAACGTGGCAATGCTGCCAGTCTTCTGGGAACTTTCCCCTGTGATAGTGATGCGGACGAATACTTTGACGCCTAAATTAAGGGTATAATTTTTGTTGTTTTCTTTTACTTTCTTTTTATTTAATAGTTTAGTTGTAGTTAATTTTAAGTTGTAAATATTTATGTAGTTATATAAATTATGATATTTAAATAAATATAACTTAGATTTATTATAATTATTCAAAATTAAAGTAATAGTTATACACTATTTACAGACTTGTATAATACCGTAATAACAGATATGAGACTACAATATATTTAAATATAATAACTGTAGGTACAAAACTATTCTTGATCTGCTGTCTTCATATTGTGACCATGGCGTGGACGGCCCGCCATTTTAATAACTACTTCGCTTCCGAAATAAGGACGTGGCAACGTAATATCTCGTTTATCGATGTTCTAGTACAATATTATTTTATAATAAATGAAACACGTTTTTTAAATCAGATTTATAATTCCGAATGTAACAGGTACTTAAAAATATATGATTGAAATAGGTTAAGAAGGTAAATAAAAACTATGAAAAAATAGAAAATTTTAATAAAATGTTATACAGTATGTACTATGTATACATGTTTTTAAATATTAAGTTCTATAAACCTGGCATAAAAAGTGACAAATTAAAACCATTAACGATTATATATAATTATCACAATTACCAATCAGTCTTATACTAATAAATCTTTTGAATAATAGAACAAAATTATACAAAATCTACAATGCAACCTGCATTCTGATCATCTAATTCGCTGGGTGCAAAGTGGGTGGTGGGGACAGTGAAATCGATCTCAGCGCGCACCGTGGCTAAAAAAGGAACTTTTGGCAGACTTTATTCCACGAAGTTATAGGTAAATATGGAGCCCACACTTAGAATAAAAGTTTCGAGTCAAATACTCTCGCTCCTATTCTCTGAGGCAAACTGAGGTCTGATCTCTTTTTCTAGTGTACTACAGAAATTGAAACAAACTGACCTCAGACAGTAGAAGAGAAATAAAAATTCAAGTAGGTCCTTCTAATATGCGAAGTTCTTCCGTAGTCATTAAATTCCCACTCATTATAATAGTCACTTAATATAAATCTTGAACTCGATATCACAAGTAAATTAATCATAAATATTATTCATTCACTTCACTAATTTCTGGTCGCCGCGCTTGTGACGTCACGATATTGTCGTCTAGTCGTGACCATGGCGTACCGGGTACTGATAATTCGGGTTGCGTTAGGGATGCGCTTGAGTTGGGATTAGTGAATATCGAAATTCGACCCAACCATATTTTATTTTTGACTATGTAGCTTATTGAATGATTTTTAAGACTGGTTTTATAAAATTAATGCTGCTTTATCCTAGTACCAAATTATACCTAAAATAATATATTCCAGAGGAAAGTTTCGAATCGATCTTTGATTTGAAATAATGATATTATCCAACATGCCCTACATCACTAGCGGTCACGCAGTTATGACTCTGGCGTGTGAGGACATTCTTTTTTCAGAGTTTATTTCTTTCTTTTTAACGTAAAATTTCTCAATATTTATAATGCAATTTAATTAGTTTTATGGAAATAAATAAATTTTGGACCTTCTATTTTACAGGTACATAAATAAATAGGCATTAAAGTAATGTTTAAATAGTTTATTTCGTGTTTTAATGTACCGCTGTTTTTGTCACATATTTGTGTCGTTGGCGCTCAGGGACAGTTTTCGCTTGTCACGTATTTGTGACCCTGGCGCTCAAAAGGTTAAAATCAAGTTCACAATACAATATTCTTGGTTACATTGTTTCGTTGATTCACATTCATCGGATGATTTTCCCCACTCAGTAACAAAAAGAAGGTCGACGTTTCTCTTATAACTCCTCTTCTGTAATTGGTGCAGATTATCACCAAGTGATACAACTGCTTATTTTCTGACTGATTCAATAACAAAGGTCTGTGTTATTAATTTTTACAAGTCCTATTATTATAGAAAACCACGTATTGCCAATAACCAGTGTTTATCCCAAACGATATTCATGAGCAAGAGTCCCTCTGTGGCTCGAAACTATTAGAGCTTTTTAAGTATGTTTACGTAAGTAACTCGTAATTTGTAATTAATGTCTATACCACATTCTAAATTCCACAAAACTAAGCATTCCATAAACGTAATCCCCAATAAATCTTAGTTGGACCCGGGATAAAATACTAAGTTTATAGGTACTTAACTTTATTGTCATTGATAAAGACTAAATCAATTAGCCAGTCTAGCATCTTCTGTCCTCTAATCTAGTTTTAACTTGGAAATAAACTAAAATTCATTAAGCCAATCGCCTTAGCTCGTGTAACCCCAATACGTCAATCTTATATAAAATTACCTTAATTACTGTTTAATTGACCTTCTCGTTAGATTCATAATTAATCAACAAACTTATGATTACATAACAGTATGACGTAAAAATAACAAAGTTATTTTTATTGACAACACTGTTTATTTTTGTATCAATTTTACATGACATTGATATTGAATTCTGAAACTTACAGTCAAAGAGTCTAGTGCGAGTTTATTGCGTTCAAAGGTATGATCGACCAGCTCCAATTTATTTTAATGTCCGTCTGGTAGTCTGATGAAAAACTATTACACACGTATTTTTAATTATTTAAAAATAAAAATTAATTACTTAAAAAAAATATGTCAAATCGATTAACAAAATAAAAAAACAATAATACAATTATATTTTTTTATTTTAACGCAGATTATAATAGTTTTTGAAATGTGACATCACAAAGTTTTGGATCCCCTCCCCTTCATCACACAGTGTCACACTTCGTCAACCCCCTCCCCCTTAAATGGTGACGTAATTAATAGATGGCCCCTTTTCTTACAATCAACTAAAGAGTTGTAAATCGAACTATTGAATGGCATGTTTGATCTTTAGAATACAAACACTTATTAATTTCATTAGAATGTCATGCAATCAAATATATGCAAGTGACCTAACCCTGACTTTTTGAGAAAAGATAATTAGATTTAGCTATCTACGTGCATACATACCATAGCATTTACCATTACATTATAGCATTGTATTCTCATTCGAAGCGAATGTGAACGATTCATTCAGATGATATCACGCGGGTTTCCAGCGAATGAACTGCATATTTGGTGGAGACGTTGGAATGGCTGAGCGTGAATGCGTCTGGGAAATTCGGTAATGCAACAAAAGCTACGGAAATATTTCTGCAAATTATTAAGAAGCAATATCTCTTTTTTATGGCATAAGCCGGTAAACGAGCAGATGGATCACTTGATGGTAAGCAATCAGCGTCGCCCATGGACACCTGGAACACCAGAGGCGTTACAAGTGCGTTACCGGCCTTTTGGGGATTAGGAGTTTGAGGATCGTTGGGGATTCAGGGACTAGGGAGATTGGGGAAGGGGAGGGTAATTGGGCCTCCAGTAACCTCACTTACACGACGCAACACAACGCAAGCGTTGCTTCACGTCGGTTTTCTGTGAGGCCGTGGTATCACTCCGGTCGAGCCGGCCCATTCTAGCCGAAGCATGTTTTTGCAATTTGAGAAAGATTATTCAGAATTGTCCTCGTTTTAAAGGCAATCACTTATGTCTAACATAAAGTACATTTATGTAGTACTAGCTCCTACCAGGGGCTTCGCCTGCATTCTCGTGGGTTAAAAAGTAGCCTATGTGATATTCCCGACCATAATTTACCTGTTAATTCGTTATTTCATATCGATTCCTTCAGCCATTTTAACGTGAAAGAGTAACAAACACATATACATATATATATCCTCACAAACTTTTACTGTTATAATTATTAGTAGGAAGTAGGATTAGAAGGATAGGATAATGTTTGGTAGCAAATATTTTGTTTGTTTTAGAAAAGAAAAAAAAGAAAAAATAAAACAATACGGTCACATTCTTTGTGACATTTAATTAAACAGAAAATAATGGTATGAAATGGATGCTATTACTACCAGGATCAAAACACGGAAATTTTAAAATCTCTTAGGAGACTATAATAACCAATTTATTCTTTTGCAGTTCAAACGGAGTGAAGGGCAGAATAACAGTGAACGGTCACACTCGTGAAATGAAGCTGTTCAAGAAACTCAGTACATACATCATGCAGGAAGACCTGCTTCAACCAAGGTTGACAGTGCAGGAGTCTATGATGATAGCAGCCAACTTGAAACTAGGGCAAGAGTTGGGCAAGGCTGAGAAAGAACTAATAGTAAGTTTATTTTTTTCGGCTTTTTATAACTCTTCTAGTTTTTTTTTTTATAACGCAATGGAAATCTTCTTTGACTTCCCTCGTCGTGGGGACGAAGGGGGGTGTGCCGGATTCTTACCGGCTAAAACCACCGCGGTGTTTGCCTGTGGCCGTGATCCGGGACGCCCTTGCGGAATCACCACACCCGGCAGGCTTCGACCTACCACTATATTGCGGCAGGTCCGTTCTTATTCTGACCACAATTCGGGCGTGCAAAACTTTTAAATGGAAATTATAATTATTCAAACTTAAAACCAGCTATGTCATAATGAGTGAAAGAAAAAATATTACCAAGCTTGAAGAATTCCTCTGTACTAACATCGAATGTGGAACTCTACGTAAATAAGAAGTCACTATTCTATCAGAAATACGTACTTAAACTGTCAAACACCAAGCGGTCACCGGTGACCGCAACCTATTGTTCTTTAATTGTGTCTATAATGATGGTACTCAACGAGTTAAAAACTTAAAAATCCATTTCACTTATATGTAAAAAAAATTGGAGTGTCTGTTTGTAATATTAAAATAACCGCTTTTTACTACATGCATGTTTTTTTTTTATTTGTTTATTCTCATAAATGTATACATTATTATTAAATATACAAAAATCGCCAAACTGTTTGTTGGCGATAATGGCGCTCTTAAATATTATTTATTATGCACATATTATATTCTTTATATAATATTAGAAGTATTTTACATTAAATCTATTATATGTATTACCAATTATTATTAAATGACAAAAATATTATTAATTTTATTAATACTAATATCTTAATAAAACTATTTCTATTACATATGAGTATCTTATACTTTTAGGTAGTAGTTTTTAAGTCTTTTTTTAAATAAAGCATCACTTATGTTATCTTTGGACGCGTTTCTTATAAAATCTATGTTGTTAAATATTGTTGGAGTTAAATATCGCCTAGTCCTTTTACCATAATAATTTTTCACCTGAGGTATTACAAATTTTCCCTGCACAGCACTCCTAGTCTTATATTTGTGATTTATTGGCTCTTTGTGTTCATTTAAGTTGTATTGCTCCATGGCTATGAGGTAATCTACTTTATCATGCACTGGTATTATATTACAACATTTTAATAATTCTTCATAATTTTGTTTATATTTTAACTTTACTTTTTTGCTAACAAGGTACTTACTCAGTCTAATTTGTAATTGTTTAATTAAATCTAAATGAGTTTTGAATGTTAGTCCGTAACTACTTAAACCATAGCCAATCAATGAGTCTGCAAGTGCGAAATATAAAACATATAACAGTTTCCTACTAACAAATCTACTGAGGTGAAAGAATTTACCCAGAATGGATTGCAGCTTACCACATACATCGTTAATATGTAATTTCCAATTTAAATTACTGTCTACTATTAATCCTAAATATTTATATTTGTCTACTATATCTATATTTGTACAAAGGCATCTATATTTATCACTATGTAAACATTCGTATGTATGACCGGTTATGTGTATTTGTGCTTGATTTTTATAGTTACTATAGGGAGAATATATATACATTAATTTAGTTTTAGCGAAATTTAGTATTATGCCATTATCGTGTGCCCATTTAATAACATTTTCAAAGTCCACCTGCATGTGGTATTGTGCCTCTGCGGCGCTGTTGGACGAGTATAGCAGGCACATGTCGTCCGCGTACATAAACGTTGTGCAGTGCTTTATGACGTTGATGACACTGTTCACGTGCATTATGTACCCCACCGGGCCGAACACCGAGCCGGTCGGTACGCCGAGATTCACGCTTACCTCGTCGCCGATGGTGCCGTCTATGGATGTGCGAAGGGTTCTGCTCTCCAGGTAGCTCTTAAACCAGCGGTTAATGGGGCCTCGTACACCACACTCGTCCATCGCCCGCAGCAGTACGTCGTGTTCCAGGTATCGAATGCTTTTTTGTAGTCAATAAATAATGCTGCGACACACTTACCCTGGTTGAGGTTGTTATTGACGTAGTCGGTGAATTGCGCGAGAGCAGTGGCAGTGCTGCGCCCGCGCCGGAACCCGTGCTGCGCCTCGGAAATTACATGGTGTTGTTCTAAATAGCTACTAACCTGATTTACAATGACTTTTTCTACTAATTTATTTATTACTGATAATATGGCGACTGGCCTATAGTTACTGTATTCCAAATGATTGCCTTGTTTAAATATAGGTCTTATTAGAGATTTTTTTAATAGGTCTGGGTAAACACCCCCACCAACACACATATTGATTAACTTAGCTAATACTGGACTAATTTCTTTTTTTACCCGTTTTACATCTTGCACCCTTATCCCATCTATGCCCGGAGCCTTATTACAACTCAAATTATTTATGTATTTTTCAACTGTACTAGCGTCAGCTTTCTTAAGATAAAAAGACTTATCACTAGGTTTTACATAGGAACTTCTATCCAGAAAATTATTATTACAGTTGTGCTTAATTTTTAGTATTTCACCCGTAAACGTTTCAGAGAACTTATTACATACATTGTACATAGTGTCTGTTTGTCCTAAATACTTTATAATAACACCATCTAAACTTATTTTGGGATTACCTATCCATTTATTTATGTTAGCCCATATTTTTCTAAAATCATTATCACATTTTTTTATTTCCTTCTGTCTATAATTATTCTTAGCATTATTTATTAATTTATTAACTTTATTTCTGTATCGTGTATATATTAATCTATTATTCATATTCTTTGGCGAAGATTTCCATATTCTAAAGAGCAAATCCTAATGTTCTATTTTATTTCTTAATTCTACATCAACCCACGGTTGCGTAATCCTTTTTTTCTTTAAAATAACTTGTCTTTTACTTTTAATATAAATGCTAGAAAAAATATTATATAACTTTTCATACAATAACAGAGGACAATTAGTTTGCATTAAATCTATCCAATCAATTTCTTTCAAACACTCACCAACAATTTTATCATCAATAATATTTTGTATTTTAGAACTATCATTACCACATTTACGTACGTTAGCACTCGGCGCCACGCTAATTCCTACCATGTAGTGATCCGATAAGGTGCAGGTTAGCAGGTGCGCGCGCGCGTCGATCGGCTGTGCACGGCTCGCTCGCACGCACACATGGTCAAGATTCGCGGAATTCACTCGGCCGTCGACGATCGCTTCGCGCGTTATCTCCATCGTAGGTATTGCACACTGCAGGCCGCTTTCACACAGGGCGATTTTGTACGCGGTGAGACTTGGGTTTACGTCTTGTGATAAGTCTATATTGACGTCACCGATTAATATCAGTTCTTCGGTGGGTGGTATAGTTTTGAGCATAGCTTCAAGTTCCGAGACCATGTAATGTAGTAAAAAGCGGTGTATGCATACGATACACATACTAATCTCAGGCTAATCTCTGGAATAGCTGGACTAATTTTGCAAAACTTTTATTGGCAGGTGATGTAAGGAGTAACATATGCTATTTTTATTTTGGAAACTTGAAACATAAATATGTTCTATAATATTATGTTCCCAAATTCATTATCTACGCGGACGAAGTCACGGGCAACAGCTAGTATAATATATAATTAATATAAAAAGTCAAAAGCACTTTAAATGCCACAATAAATGGCAATATTGATTAAGAACGTGAAATTAATTGTAGGAAGAATGGAATGTTAGGCATACTCGTCATAAAGGCATTCTTTTACAAGGACATTTCCTTTTATATATCCATGCTGGCAATTGAAGCAATTGTTATTGACTTGTTTATTTATAATTAGTAGAAAGGCGCAAGGAGGAAAGAGTTTATGAGAAATCATAATTATCCGCCTCATAATAAAGTATAAGAGCTAAGAGAAAAAAGAATTCCCTGTCTGAAATAAAACTAAATGTCGTAGGATCGGAAATACCGCTCCGTGTGAGAAGCGGCTTTTGTTTAGCAGAAGGCACTTTTAGGCTGATGATAAGGATAAAATAAATCTGTATCCGTGACATAGTTAGGAATCATCGACATTGATAACAATAGTGTAAAGTTTTTATTAAAAAAATAGACACACAAATAGATTGTTAAATATGATTCATTTTGCTCGCATAATATACATAACATCAAAAACATAATAGACACGTCTAATGACTATTATTTATTTTTGGAAATACTAACGAGTGAGTTCTAAGAAATTTTAATCCAATGATAAAACAAAAACAATATAATCATAGCACATGAGTGGACCTATTAAATTTAACGATACGAATAGGTCTCTTCGAATACACGCAAATAATTAATTGTACAAATACATAAAGATAGAAGTTACTTACTTAATTAGAAATTAAACTCTATCTAAGTTTAATGAAGTGTTCTTTGCAGTGTCTTTAAAATCGGATTAAGTCACGTTTGCTTTATATTAGACCATGAAAACTTGATTGGATACTGAAGCAATCAGTCATTGAACTCTGCTGGTTAGAAATAGTCTGTGTGTTTTTTTTAAGGGGGGAAAATCATCAAATGACTGCTCCCGCCTGGGTGAGGCGGGAGGAAGTGTCAGTCTTACTGACTAAAAACCACCCCGTTCCTTCTCCTGCACGTCGAGCCGGAGCCCCGGTTACCCGTTAGGTTCTCCGCGACTAGAAATAGTGTGTAAGATGATTAAATTCTTCTCTCCAGAAGTAAACTTTATAACAATTATAAATTCAACCACGTAGTAATTGGCGTTCCATAGTCTCTGCCTACCCCCATGGGAGACAGGCGTGAAGTTATGTATGTATGTACTCAGCAGAATTTTGTACCAGCCGTTTCAACTTCCTACACTTTGTTTTAGGTAGAAGAAATTCTTCAAACTCTTGGCTTATGGAATCATAAGAACACAATGACTGAAAAACTATCAGGAGGTCAAATGAAGAGGCTGTCTGTTGCTCTGGAGCTGGTCAATAACCCACCCATCATCTTTTTGGATGAGCCTACAACGTAAGTACAGATTTCCAATATTTTTTATTTTCATTTTCATACTTATAGGTATATAATACATATTCGAAGTTATTGTAGTGTTTTGATCTAACTGACTACTGCATTAATATTTATATAGCTATGTAGCGTTGGTCAGTTAAATAATATTGTAATTTAACTGTAACATGGTAGAGGTATAAGAACTATCGTGAGATATACTAAATTAAGTAAAATCGCGGGCGAGAAAAGCTCTACTAGTTTCGAACCACAGAGGGGTTTTGGGTATTGCGCGACCGCACGCTGTTCATGAGGAAGAACCCCTCTGTGCTTCGAACCTAGTAGAGCTTTTTTCAGTATATTCACGTGAGTAACCCGCGATTTTAGTTAATGGTCGAGGTAGCTTACCTGAGACTGTTATTGTTTAAGCAAGTTTGCAAATATTTTGCCCATGGCAAAATGTTCACATCGATTTATTATCTAATTTCATCTTCATCGATCCAATTACAAGTAGACTAGTATAATTCCCAAATTTCTCGTTACCAGATACATTAAAAACATCCACTTACCTTCCGAGAAGAAAACACCACAATTCATTAACTGCGCCAAGACCACAAATAACCCAAAAACATCCCATGTTTTTCAACCCCGATGACGTTACTCTCGTTAGAAGGGGCGAGTTAAAAAAAACAATTAGACACAGCCATAACGAGAACAATGCGTACGTTTGAGGAAAATATAATCCTCGGATTAGACATGAGTAATTGGAGTCATTATTGTCCTCTCATATGTTAGTAATGCAATTTTTCTGGACCAACCTTCTTATGGACAAGGAAAATGCCCTTATTTAATTTAACCCTTATATCCGTAATGAGGTAAACGTGTATTCTTATTCGTCATCCGGGAAAAGTCATATAAAAAATTGGATTATTTCAAATAAATATCAAGTAAGCCTTGTTTTTTCCTGTCCAGGACGTTTGTTCATTTCGGACATAGTCCATTTAATTTTAACACAACTCTTGACCTTCATGAACTTCTTCCAATAAGTATTTATTACCTACGAATTGCTCGTTACTTAAGTATAGGTACATACGCTACCCTTCGAATGTAACTAAAGCGATTGAAAGAGAAAATTCCCTAACAAAATAGACTGTAATCTGTATTCATCCTGAATCCGAGCTGAACAGCAATCTTTTGAAAGCTCGATATCTTTGAGGCAATTCATTAATATCTATTGCCCAAAAGGTCCGACCCAATCGGAAAGCTAAACAAAATTATATAAGCACAATGGGAGGTAATTGGCTTAATCACTAGGTTCCCCCATAACCTTTTATAGGACGTTTAACCTGAAACGTGTTTACGGAATCACGGCCATGTACTCAATCCATCGAGAGCGGCCATTTTAACAAAAATTGTTAGTAGAACCCTTGAAACTGATTTGTGGAACCTTTCTGAAGAGATCGGTTTTGTGTTGCATTAATTTGATCCTGGTCCTTCAGGCCTCATTGTGCGGTATTGATGAGACAATGTACGCTTAGTTTGATAATTAATTTTCAGTAGCACTAACAATTTTTAAGTGAATCATTAAAATAAAAATTGCCTTACGACAAAAGTTTTCTAAACATTTCGTATCTTTATGTTTTTCGGCTTATTCACGCCATTATTTGACGAGAAAATCGACTAGTTTTAAGACATGCTAGAGGCTCATATCCCGCCTCACCCAGGCGGGAGAAGTCATTCGATGATTTTTCCCCCTTAAAAAAAGAGGCTCATATTCAGCTTGGCTTGAAACTAGTCGAGTTAGTGTAGTCGAAACCTTTTGTACTTACGTTTTTTATTATTTGAACTAATTCATCTATTATCACTAGTCTTATTTATCCAAATACCTGTGGGTATTAAAATAAATAACTTTATGACATATTAAGTATCTAATAATAGACGATGGCTAATCCATATTGTTAGTAAAAATTATGTAGGTACCAGATTTTAGAGATTAAAACAAAAGAAGAGTAGCGTTCTACAACTTTATACATACTCGAGCATTTTTATTCAGAATGCACTAATTAATTCATTATCTTTGTACCATATGGGATTTACGCGTCGGATCTCTGTTCCGGTTTGATTTAGGATACATGTCGAATTTTATTCTCTCCAATAAAACAAAATGGAAGGTCTCAAACATAAATTGTAATTAGAATAATTTCTATTGATTAATTTTCTTTGTTCAGGGATTTTTAAATAATTAAATAAATATTTGAAATCTTAGTAACATGCTGCTTATTGTGTAATGAACTGTAAAGGACACAATTAGGAGAAACTGCCTCGTTGTCCGAGTGGTCGCAAGTGCGACTGCCGGGCAAGGGGTCTCGGGTTCGATTTCCGGGTCGGGCAAAATATTACTGGGTTTTAAAAAAAAAACAGTAGTAGTAGAAAAGTGGGTGTTACATTGTACAATAGCATAATGTGCACCTCTGCCTACCCCTTGACTGGCCATACAGTTAAAAGAACGAAACAACCGAAGTATTGTGTTTTGACGTGTGAGTGAGGTTACCGGAGGCGCAATTACCTCCCTCCCACTCCCAATCTCCCAATCTCCGGAATCCCCGAATCCTTAACAATTCTCTACTTCCAAATCCCCAAAAGGCCGGTAAAGCACTTGCATCGCGTTTGATGTTTCGGGTATACATGAGCGACGCCGATTGCTTACCATCAGGTGATCAGTCTGTTCGTTAACCGGCTAGTTACTTAAAAAAAGGAATAAAGGTTTAGTTTCATACTTCGGTAAGTATGAGAATATAATGACAATCTTATCAAACCTTTTGTAGTTCATGGTTAAATGTGTTATTATATTTATGTGGCCGAGATTTATAATAAATCTAACAAGTATTTATCTATAATGGCCTTGCAACTTAATATATTTCTTGCGTGCGAACCGCTAATGGTCCTTTGTGGGATATACTTGGCCATCTGCATCTTAGAGTTTTTACCGCAAAAAGCAATTATTTTAAATTAAATCGTTTGTGGATTATGTCATTATTGTTACAAAGTAATTTCTTTGTTGGGAATGTTTATTATAAAAAAATAATACAATATTTATTTTAATGATTTTTTATCCTGATGAGAAATTGAGAAGTCTCGTGTCTTCTGCCGGCCAAGATCCACTTTGTATCACTGAGCTACGGTATTTAATTATTAATTCTTACGTGTCTTTTTCCGAGTTATATGTATACTTTCTAAGATTATTTAGACACCACTGACAAACGGTGAAGGAAAACATCGTGAGGAAACCTGGGCTTATAATTTCTAATTAGAAGTTTGTAATCACCAACCCGCATTGAGCAAGCGTGGTGATTAATGCTCAAACCTTCTCCTTGTAAGAAGAGACTTTGCTCAGCAATGGGCATTTATAGGCTGATGATGAGATGAGAAGTATTTTAAAACACATAAAACACAACATAAATATATTAAATCACTCGTATTTTCAGTCGTCATCACATTTTTACACACAAAACATAAAAGTTGCCTACTTCACAAACTCGTACCAGTAAAATTTTGTAACAGGCTTTAATTTTAACCGTATTTAACTTCATGGAGTCATAACTCAATTTCATTTGCTTAGGCGTGTCAACAAAGCGTAAAATTTAAGGATAATACAACAATTCTCATTGCAAAATATAAAATACTGTGTTTACTATGAAATTTCTGTAGGAAAATGATTATGATTTTCAATTATATTGTACTTAAATACCGATAATTTTTTTTTTGAAAGAAACTAATTCATTTTGTTTGGTAAGTCTGCATTAAATTTTAGAAAATAAACTCTTTGTTGCACTAGTAGATGCACTTCAAATTCGTACGTCCCAACCAGATCCAATTACGTACCTATGCAAATATATTATTGCTAGCGGACCCGACAGACGTTGTCCTGCATATCCACTTGAATGTATAAACAAAAATTCATTCAAATTAGTTCAGCTGTTTATGATAAATAACCTAAACATTGACTGCAGCGCCATCTGCAGGGCTGATTTGTGAATCTAAACCATACCCAGATCCCCTTGAACACACACAAAAAATTTCATTAAAATCGGTATAGTCGTTTGAGAGAAGTTCAGTGACATACACACTCACAGAAGAATTATATATATAAAGATGTATAATAACTATCTTTATTATGTAACTATGATAAGACTGATTGCCTTTGATCATCTTTTACATTAAGCCGCGGAAGGCCTAACCGCCTAATAGGTTGCCGGGCTTGAAGACCAAGAGTAGGAACGGGGTGGTTTTTAGTCAGTAAGAGTCTGACACTCCCTCTCGCCTAACCCAAGGCAGGAGTAGTCATTGGATGATTTTCTCCCTCAAAAAAAGGGTAAATTAACTTAAATATTTCAGTAATAAGTTTCTCTTTATTACAGTGGCCTGGACATCGTCTCCATCCGTCAGTTGGTGGTACTCCTCCGTCTCCTGTCTCGTCAAGGCAGAACGATCGTGTGCACAGTCCATCAGCCATCCGCCTCGTTGTTCGCCCTTTTCGACAGAATCTACGTGTTGGCACGAGGAATGTGCTGTTATCAGGTAATCAGTTGTTTATATATTTAGATTTAAAGCCTCATTGGCCGAGTGGCTGCAAGTAAGACTGCCGGGCAACAAGTCCCGGGTTTAATTTCCGGGTCGCGCAAAGTATTACTGGATTTTTTTTTAAATCTCAGTAGTAGCACTGAGTCTGATATGGCAATAGGCGTATTCCCTAATTCCCTATTACATGGAACTCATAACATAAATAGGGAAAAGTGGATGTTACATAGTACAGTAGCATTGAGTGCCGTAATGTGCACCTCTGCCTATCTCTTCGGGGATAAAAGGCGAGATGTTATATTATTTAATAAACATATTGTCCAGATTTTGCATAAAGAACCTGGCAGTTAAGAATGTAATTTTCATTTTATACTAACTTTGCAACAACCATGAGACTCTCAACAGGCTATACAGTACTTCTCTCCTTTTTTTTCTTTTGAAGTCGGTTAAGAATACATCATCACTCACAGGAGGGCACTTATAGGAAATACATCAAAGAGTTATAGATATAGAATCGCATCGTTCAACAATCGACTTCTGTCTAAGCCCACACTAACCTAACAACACACTAGCTTGATATTGAGAACTGGAGCAGAAATCAAAGATCCATTAATAAGGTATTTATCACGCACACAATACCTTAGAAATAGTCAAGACACTACGAAACTTAGATTGTCTTACAAACTAATTATCCAACTTCCTATCAGGAAAGGTGTCAATCAAGTGAACGTTCCTTGTACCCAAATCAAATGGTTTATTCATTAAAATCGTCACGTTTTGATTTACTTACGTCACCAATTTAATTGGTTTTGCCTTACTTTCAAAAGGGCTTCGGTTTGTAGAACGATTTTGATGTGGACGTGTTGGGATTTCCGACAAGTCAATGTGGGTGTGTTGTGGTGTATGCAGTACTGACTGATGTTTTGTTATTGTTTTGATTATACAAAGGTAGAGGACTTTTAAACTAGACGGCTCGACCGGAGTGATACCACGGCCTCACAGAAAATTGACGTGAAGCAACGCTTGCGTTGTGTTTCGTCGTGTGAGTGAGGTTACCGGAGGCGCAATAACCCTCCCCTTCCCCAATCTCCCCAATCTCTGAATCCCCAACGATGCTCAAACCCCTAATCCCCAAAAGGCCGGTAACGCACTTGTAACGCCTCTGGTGTTTCAGGGGTCCATGAGTGACGCCGATTGCTTACCATCAGGTGAACCATCTGCTCGTTTACCGGGTTATGGCATAAAAAAATACAACATAAACAGCCCATAAGTGCCCACTCCTGACCAAAAGTCGTCAAATTAGTCAGCGCCGCACAGTGTGAGAATCCCGCAATCTAGGGGGATTTAAATCAAAATATTTTTTGTCGTAAATGTTATTATAGTTATAACCTATTTATACCTAAGACCGTATTTAACACAGCTACCTATTAGAAATGCTTGTAGGTATGTTAAAAAAATTCAAATAAAATGTTGAAGTGGGTAGATAATAATCGTTGAACCTTTACAATACAAACAACAATATTAAAGTCTCATCTTCACTTGAGATTACTGATCAAATTAACGTATAGTCTTGTTTATTGGTTTATTATTGTATTGTGTATACCTTTCAAGGTAAGTTAGAGTGTATTTTGTTTAAGTAATAGTTAAACATTGATCTCATAACATCATTTGAAAGCACAGTTAAATTAAGCATTTTCTAGAGACGATTTGCAAAACAAAGGGTGTATAAAAAAAATGATCTGAATATCCCGGTGCTGTTATTGTTTTAATGTATAGTTTAGACTCTTACATTTTAAGAACAATTGCTAAAACTTGCGATTTTGTGCGACCGTCATACATTTTTTTTCGGTTTTCAGAATGACGACCGAAATTACAAAAAAACAAATTTTTGATATTTGGACCTCAAATGCAAAAAGGAGCGAATTGATCTATTTTTGCTTTAATAATAAATAATTACCCTCATGTACAATTTTCGGAAGGTGCTATAAATGAAATTAAGTTCTTTTTAAGGAGGTTATGTAACAAATTTAACGAAAAATGGACAGCTAGCGGTAGACATCGTGATCGCTTTTTAAGCAAGAATATGACTTGGTTGAATGAATGAATTACATTACCAGAAAATGTTTTAAATGAAATACCATCTACATCTGGCCATTCACCAGGAAGACCACACAAAAGTTTTGTAGAATGTTGTGATAAAACCAAAAAACGTAAAGTTCAGGATCTAATATCTTCTACTAGCCCCTGAAGAAATAACAGTTGCACATGAATATAACCTTCGCAAAGCAGGCAAAAGGGACTCTGCAGATATCGTAAAAGAACTTTCTAATAGTTCACCTAAGAGAGGTTCCATCATGAAAAGCGTACGTAAAACGATTAGCGAAAGCGTTCAAGTGACTGTGTCGGCCGATGAGGCATTAAGCATGATGGTAGATGCTGATCTATCAACTCATCAATATGAGATGATACGGCAAAGGATAAATAAATTGGTTAAAAACTTATTGCCATCTTATGACCGAATAAAAGAAGCTAAGAAGAAATGTTATCTTCCCTGAAAACCGTAACAGAATCAACTGCAACGTGTGGCCTGCAATCATTAGTAGACCATAGTATCGAACGACTTTGTTTATCACAGAAAGAGGTTCTTGGTCAATCCAGGACTTGCAAGGTGGAGTAAAGAACTATCACTGTTAATAAGCGGGGTTGTGATGGAGCACAACAAAAATCATATAAACAAAAATTTTGTTCAGAAAATAAATTTGATGAGAACCTTTTTAGCATATCCATGGTACCTATACAGTTAAGGTTGAATGGTGAAGAGCATAATACTATAGTATGGCAAAATCCAGCCCCTTCTTCGACAAGGTACTGTCGACCAATTAGACTTAATTTTGCAAAAGAGACTACTTCATTAATTAAAGAAGAGGTTGACACGATACAACAGCAGATCGATGTGTTGTCGGCCGTCGAAGTAAGTCTAGATAACTTTAAGGTTTTAGTGAAACCAATTGCTGACTATGATAGACGGTAAAATATGTAGTGCTCTATCTAAAGTTTCGTCCTCATCTCAAACTTGCTATATATGTGGAGCAAAGCCTTCAGAGATGAATAATCCATCACTTATTATGATGAAACCTCTCGATCAAGCTGCATTGTCTTTCGGGCTTTCTCCTTTGCATTCCTGGATTAGGTTTATGGAATGTATACTTCATATCGCCTACAGACTTGATATAAAAAAGTGGCAAGCTAGAGGTCAAGAAAATAAAGATAAGGTTAAGGCTAGGAAGATACATATACAAACACGGTTCAAAAATGAATTAGGTGCCAATGATGGCAACACAGCACGCCGATTTTTCAGAAGTGCCACAATAACTGCTGATATTACCGGAATAAATTTAGAATTAATAACGAGGTTTCATATCATTTTAGAAACTCTTGGGTCTGGTTTTACAGTCGATTTAGAGTCCTTCAATCGTTACACAGAAGAAACCAGAAACCTATATCTTAGGGAATACTCATGGTATAACATGCCAGTAAGTGTGCACAAAGTTTTATTTCATGGCCGTGATGTCATAGCTTCGTGTATTTTACCCATTGACCAGTTATCGGAAGAGGCACAAGAAGCTAGAAACAAAGATAATCGAAGATATAGGGAATTCTTTACTAAAAAAACGTCACGAATAGACACCAACACCGACCTACTTAATAGGCTTCTTATATCATCAGACCCTTTTATATCCAGCTTGAGGCTTATAATGAAGAGAAAACGAACCTCTAGACTCCGATGTCCTAAAATTGCTTTCTGCAGCCACCGTAAATGAGATCGAAAGTAGAGTTAGTGACTAAAATAAGAAAATTTATTAATACCGCATTTTTTTTAATACAACTTTTTTTCTATCGCTGTTTAAGAATTTTTATTTATTTCAATACCAATCAATATTATTTTTCAACTTGTATCTTTTATTTAAATCAATTTGGAATTAAATCCCCCTAGATTGCGAGATTCTCACACTGTGCGCCGTTGCGATTGCTACGGTTGATGCTGATTGTTATAAACATTATTTCATTCTATTGAATCCAGTCCAGATATACTGTCATTGAGTTTTATTTTAATCTAACAAATGGTAATATTAAGTGTCTAATATGATCCAAAAACATCAACAGCCTATACGTGGCCATTGCTGACCAAATTCCTGTTTTTTCATTTCAAATGGTTTGAATACATCAAATTTTTTTTGTCTAAAATTTTATTATATCTATTTAAATATTTTTGGCGTTATGAATAATAATAAAGTAAATATTTTATTATCTCATTTTAACTAAGTAACAAATACTGCGAAAAGCTCTACTAATTTTGAGCCACAGAGGGGCTCTTCCGTATGAGCAGCTTGAGCGGTCGCGGCGAGATGTTGCCCATTCTATTGATAATATTGACATCGCCGCGATTTTCAGTTAATTTAGTAGTCTCACGATATTTACTATCTCAATTTACTTAAATATTTTAATCCTCATTTTAGGTTAGTTTGTTTAAAATTATTTTCAACATTTTTTTCAATGCTATTAATCTGACTAAAGACTAAGATTAATCTACCTTCAAATTTTTTTTAAATTTTAAACCTTGAAAAGTTATATGAAGTGATTTTAGTATAAAAGTTTTTAATTAATTTAAATGATCATCATTAGTATTCAGAAAAGGACGCCGCACACCTGACGCCGGTGATTACTACAAATAGTTTTCATAGAAATTATTTTAGTACTTAGGTACTTTTAGTTAAGTGATATTTTAGAAGTGAGGCAGGTATTTCTAATTTACATATGTAGACATATCTATACATATAATAAAACTATAGAAGTGATAATTCTATAAATGTAAAAATATATTAGTTTGTCTGCCTCGTTGGCCGAGTGGTCGCAAGTGCGACTGCCGGGCAAGGGGTCTCGGGTTCGATTCCCGGGTCGGGCAAAGTATTACTGGGTTTTTAAAAATTCTCAGTAGTAGC